GATCAAGTCAGGCGCATGCACATGCATGCCCAAAATCCTGAGAGGAGACTGGAGGAGAAGGGATTCCAGCATGGCCATCCCCCATGGAGGGTGATTTCTCACTTTCCCTTTCTGTCTCCTATAAGCCCACACGCCCTATGGCAAGAATTTTTTTTTTTTAAAAGAGACACAACAGTATCAGCTTAGGAATCCTGAAACAAAGGTCTGTGAGGGCTATGGGCTACACATAGATCTGAGGTCCACAGATCTCCCTTCTCTCTCTCCAAGTCCTGGTTTCTGAGGTATGACCATGCACATGCACCACTGAGAGTGATTTCTCCTTATCTGTTCTCTGCCCCAGCAAGTGCATGAGCCCTCTGGCAGATTAAAAAAAAAAAAAAAAGAAGATCAGGTGCTGGCAGGTAGCATGGTAGTTAAGGCACTGGACTCCCACATGGCTGACCCTGGTTTGAGTCCTGGACCTGGCAGCTTGCTTTCTCGCTTTCCTTTTCTTTCTCTCTCTCTCTGATAGAAATTAAAAAAATAAATATTAAAATAATTTTTTTCAGAATTATTTTATTATTATTATTATTTATTTAATTTGACCAGAGAAGGACAGAGAGAGAGGGAGAGAGAAAAAGAGAAAGCAAGCTGCCAGGTCCAAGACTCGAACCACAGTCAACCATGTGGGAATTCAGTGTCTTTAACCACCACGCCACCTGCCAGCCCCTAAATTCCTACTTTTGTTAAAAAAAAAAAAAAAAAGTGGGGTGGGGGTGTCCCTCTCTGGTCAAATTAAGATAATTAAATAAAAAAAGCAAAATAAAATAACTCTAAAAAAAAAAAAAGCCCAAAACCAAATTCTTATTTTTAAAAAAGAAAAAGAAATGCTCTCATAAATCAGTAAACTTAAAACAAGCACAGAGGCCCTCATCTCCCACAGGCAGAGAGGCTGTTACCATGGGTGCCATCACGAGATCCTGCCGGCAGGTATGCTGGTATTAAATCTCGAATATTTACGTACATACCAAGACAGAACGCTTGAGCTCAGGGTGAATAACACATCTGTTCACTGCCAGACTAACCCACCGTTAGCCCCTTGAAAAGGGCAGACCTGGATGGAGCTCTCCGACTACAGCCCGTGGGTGCTATGGTTTACAAGACACTCTGCAATCCAGAGCGTAGTATTCTGGGCCTGGAATGCTCAGATCTGTCCAATCCTCCTTCTCCATAAGCTTTTACAAGGAACTGACATGGAACAATCTGCCTGAGGTCACAAGGCAAGTGGCAGAACCAAGGGTAGAACTCAGAACCCTAGCTCCAAGACAGGAAGCACTGCAGCATGGGAAGACGCCGAGGAAGGACGGGCGCTGTTGGCAGTTGGCTCCATGATTGCTCTCGCCCACAGCCCCCCTCGTTCAACAGCACATCTTAGAGTCTTCACGAAGACGCTGAGTGGAAACCCCAACATGCTGCTGGGATCCCCACCCCCAGAGGAACTCAGAAACCCCCCATGCCGCATGTTGCTCCCAGGTCCCTTACCAGTGCTTGTGTGGGTGACGCCGTTGACTGTCCCTTCCACGTCGGTCTCATCCTCAGCGTAGCTCAGGATCAGGCTCTGCTGCCGGCTGGTCAGCCTCCTGTGAACCAGGACAGCAGGACAGCCACTTCCTCAGGGCGGCTCTTTAGCGGACACACAGCCAGTCCCCACATAGTGTGTGGGAACATGGCACCCCAAACCAGGCAGGGCACAGCCTGAGTCTGAAAGGAACACTAAGGGCCATGCCCACAGGCTTCCATGGAGAAAAGCCCCTCTGCACCCTGAGCTGTTTAAAAGGTCCCTGTGACTGTTAAGTTCACTGCAAAAACAGTTTTCACCAGTGCATGCGTGAAGCAAACACAAACGATCCAATCTAAGGCAAAGGACAAGTGCCAAACATCTGCCACCGAGGAGTTGGCCAGTCCTGCCCAGATGGCTCCTCCCACCAGACCACAAACCCCGCCCCCCGCCACAGCAGCACCACCAATAAAAGCCGCAACAGCAGCATAGCTAAGGTGTCCTTCCGGTAACTTGCCCAATTCTCCCGACAACTCAGTGAGGTTGGCCTTTCTATCATGGCCACTACGGAGGTGGAGAACTGAGATAGGAGCCATGTGACTTGGGGGAGAGGTGCCTAAGCCACGAAGCTCACGGGGTATAGCCACCTCAGACCAAGGCAGTCTGGCACTGGCGTGACACAGAGCTGGCGCAAGAGGTTCAGTGGCCCTGCAGGGTACAAGAGAGAGTGTGGTAGGGCGGGCGGGCTGGGCTGCGACCTGGGTGGCACTTACTTGGGAACTCTTATCTTGATGTGAATGTAGTGGTCACCGTAGCCGTAGCTGTTAATCCGGGGAATGCCTTTCCCACTCATCCGGATCTTCTGGTCGCTCTGAGTCCCGGGGGGGATCTACAAAGAAAATAAAATCTGTAGTCTCCTCAGTCCACGGTACCCAAAGGGAAAGACTGTCACTGCACAGACAAGCCCCCTCGAGAAGGACTTCCACTCGGGTTCTAGATCAAGCTGCCAGTGAGCATGAGGAACTGGCTCAGGTGGGTCTGCCCTGATCTCAGTGCCATGAGACGTGGGGCAAGAGTGGGAGGAGGAGGAGCCATGGGGACAGGCCTGAGGCAGCTCCCTGGCCATCACTGGACTATGGGAAAGCACAGAGTCAGAGCGGGATGTTCACCCGCGGGGGTGCCTCCACCGCCAAAGACTACCCCTAATTCTGGGGTTGCAAGGCCAAGGAGCACCCTGAGGCAAAGGCAAGAAGGGTGTGAGTGCAGGAGGGTGAAGGTGCAGGGCGCAGAGGGTACAGAGGTGGTGAGAGTGCAGGGGTGCAGAGGTGACTGGAGGGACATGACACGGCCCAGACATAGGAGAGACAGCTGTTGAGAGCACACGTGGGTGACATCTGTGCGTGGGAGGAGCGCATTCCAGCAAAGGAACAGGTGCCACCCACGGCAATGATGCAGGCAAGGCCAGTGGCCTGTCAATGCTGCAGAAGGGACTCAAATTATTACTGGGGGCAGGCAGGTGGTGTGGTGGTTAAGGGCACTGGACTCCTACATGGCTGACTGTGGTTCAAGTCCCGGGCCTGGTGGGTTGCCTTCTCACTTTCTTTCTCTATCTCACTCTGTCCCTCTCTGGTCAAATTAAGCTAAATAAATGAGTAAAGTTAAATAAAATAATTCTTAAAAAAAAAATTCTTACTGGGCTCCCTCAAGCCTAGGCTTCCCTGAGCCTCCTGGTGTGCTGAACCACTTTCAAGTTCTAGGACACTTGTCAGTCATGTCCCACCTCCGAGAGCAACAGAACACAGGGAGGCAAAGGTCCCCTGGAGCCCTCTTACCGTCACATTGATTGTCTCATACAGGCCCTGGGCTCTGGCTGTCCCCCCAAGAATAGCCTGAGCTATGGAAATAAACAGATCCGAGTGGATGTCGGCACCGTCCCTCCGGAACACAGGGCTTTTCTGCACCTAAAGATAAACATGAGAGATGAGCGTGACCTAGTAGAGAAGGTCCTGCCTGAGACTGGCCACTGGCCACGGGGCTGCCTGGGCCTGACAGCGTCATCCCTTCTATGCCTGGAGCACAACACTGAGGGATAGCACTGTGCTTTCTCCAGAGCAGGCAGCACTCTGGGCTCGGGAGTAACGTGGCTCCCGCATCACATGGTCCAGTGGAAGAGGGCCTCGCTTTCCTTCTTGGAATAGGTTATGTAAGAGGGAAGCATGTACAACTGACTTTTTAAATTCTAATCTTATTTTATCATAAAACAGACTGGTATAACTACAGAAGTAAAAGTAATTTATCTTTCAGAAAGTCAACTCAATACAAGGTAGCTTTAAGACAGACTGGCAACACTGGGAATAACTTGAATTTTTAAAACAATGGGGCTAGGGATCAGCAGATGGCACAGTGGTTACACATTGCTGGACTCCCACGTGGCCGACCGTGGTTTGAGACCTGAACCTAGTGGCTTGAAATACATGCTGGGCGCAGGTGTGTGCACGTCCAAGAGCCCAGGAGAAGAGTGGAGAAAGGACTGCAGCATGTTCCTTTACCCAGGGCAGATTTCTCACTTTGCCTCCCCCAAGGTGCCCATGCCCTGTGGCAAAAACCTCTTAAACAAACAAACAATAGGGCCAGCAGGTGGCAGGATGGTTAAGGTGCTGGATTCCACATGGTTTGGGTCCTGGACCCAGCAGCCTAAAAATATGCCTGGCATGTGTGTGTGCATGTCCAAAAATCCTGAAAAGATGGGGACAGCAGGTGGCATGGTGATTAAGGCGCTGGATTCTCACATGGCCGTCCGCAGTTCAAGTCCCAGACCCAGTGGCTTGAAACTCATGCTGGGCGCATATGTGTGTGTGCCCAAAATCTCTAGAGGAGAAAAGAGGAGAAGGGATTGTGGTGTGGTCATCCCCACAGGAGTGATCTCTCACTTTCTCTCTGTCTCCTGTATGTGCATGTCTATAGCAAGTCTATTTTATTTTTAAAGAGATTTTTGTTATAGGGTGTGTGCGGTCCCCAGAGAGAGAGACAGAAAGCAAGAAATCATGCCCTAGAGGGGATGGCCACACTGCGATCCCTTCTCCATTCTCCTCTCAGGATTTTGGGCACACAAGCACACGCACCTAGCGTGTCGACTACATAGGAGTCCAGTGATGTAACCATTATGCCATCTGCTGGTCCCAGCAAAAGCTCTTAAAAAAAAAAAAAAAAAAGAGTAAATAATCCTTTCCTAACCTTTAAAAAACCTCAAAAGTTTATTGCTTCCATGAGTAAGCAAGAGAAAGGGACAGACAGCACCCCAACAGGGTTTGGATGCTGACACTCCTGAGGCCTTGAGTTGGCCTCTGACCATGGACACACATGCCTGGGTGAGCTCAGGGAGGCCGCTGGACTGGGACTGTAAGACTGCCTCGCAGAGCATGTTACTATTGTGTCCACTGGTCCCTAGTTTTCTTTAAGAGAGATTTTTTGCTATAGGGTGTGTGCACTCACTGGAGAGACAGAGACACACAGAAAGAAAACGAGAAATCAGCTTCCTAGGTGATGGCCATGCTGCAGCCCCTTCTTCTCCATTCTCCTCTCAAGATTTTGAGCATTCATGCAGGCACGCAGCCTGAGTTTTTTTTTTTTTTTTTTCCTTTTTTTGGAAAGGTTTTTGCTATAGGGCGTGTGCGCTCGCCAGACAGACAGAGAGATAGAAAGCGAGAAATCACCCCCCAGGGGGGATGGCCACGCCGCAATCCCTTCTCCTCCATTCTCCTCTCGGGATCTTGGGCATGCACGCACATGCGCCCGGCGTGAGTTTAAGCCACCGGGTCCAGGACTCGAACTGCGGTCGACTACGTGGGAGTCCAGTGACACAGCCATTACACTAACTGCTGGTCCCCCAGTCTGAGTTTTAAGCTGCCGAGTCTGGTACTTGAATCATGGTAGATTACATGGGAGTCCAGCAACATAATCATTATACCTTTTGCTGGTCCTAATTTTTGTTTAAAGAATAATTTTATTTAACTTTATTTATCCATTATTTATATTTATTTATCTATTTTAATTTGACCAGAGAGGGACAGAATGAGAGAGAGAGAAAATGAGAAGGCGAGCCACTAGGTCCGAGACTCGGACTGTGGTCAGTCATGTGGGAATCCAGTGCCCTTAACCACCATATCATCTGCCAGTCCCCCAGTTTTTTTGACAGAGAGATTTTTGCTTTAGGGCATGTGTGCTCGCCAAGAGACAGAGATAGAGACAGAAAGCAAGAAATAACTGCTACACCATCTACTGGCTCCTGATTTTTTAGAGAGATTTTTGTGGAATCAGGCAGGAGGCTGGGGG